AAAAAAAAAAAAAAAAAAAAAAAAAAAAAAAAAAAAAAAAAAAAAAAAAAAAAAAAAAAAAACTTTATTGTTTTATTTATTTAATTATTTATTTGATAATTTTATTTACTAACTCTGTTTTTGTTTTAAATTTCCTTAACATATTCCGTAATGAAATTTAGATCATAAAAAAAACTTTCCTCATGGCGGGAAGTTTGAACTTAAGACTCCAATTATGTCTTTAAGCTGATTCAAATTCAATCGGAACTTCTACTCACAAGCGGCCGTCCGGTGATTCTGCTCCGACCTCCGGCTTTGCGGCTTCGCAATTTTGTTCATATTTCAGAGTCAAATACGCGATTTCTGCATATTGTTTGCAGGAGGATCAGTATGTCGCTTCATCGGCTTCGCGATCCGGTTGTTGGCCGCGCTTGCTCTCTTCTCTTCTCTCGCTAGGAGCTTTCCATTCGTCTTCATCTATCTCCTCCGGATACATCTCTCGGTATCACTTTTTGATTGAATATTTGTTTGATTTTAGTTTCTTATTATAAGCTCGATCTTTTTGGTTGAAGTTGTTTTTAATTTCTACACGGCCTCCTGTTTATTTATGTATGGATTTAGTATGTGGTTGTTGTGTGAGATTTGATATTCTGATTCATTTTGCGCGAAAATTCGTTTGATTGAGTGTTTTAAGATGTCAAATGTCAGTTTGGTTTAATGGTGGAGGAACCGTTGAGGAAGAGTCTCAAAATTGTTGAAATTGTTTTTTTGTGTTCTTCTCAAATTTTTGTTTCATTTATTTGTGGGGCCTATGGACGGCCGATTCGAACACAAGGATCTTGACGATTTAAGATTAGTTAAGCAAGTATTTGCCTTCCACCACATTGCCTAATTGCGCATCATTTCCATGAATTAGCTGGGAATTATTGAAGGACCTATGAATGTTGTTTTCATAATTGGTACTTGCCATGCCAGTCCTCTGGTTAGTTAGAAATCACAAACCTCAAACTTCCACATTGATATGGTATTGTCCACTTTGAACATAAGTTCTCATAACTTTGCTTTTGGTTTTCCCAAAAGGCTTTGTACCAATGAAGATGTATTCCTTGCTTATAATCCTATGATCAACCCCTTAATTAGCCAATGTGAAACTCCTCTCTCAATAATCCTCAACAACACTGTCAAGTAAAAAGTAAACCGAAAAGATTAGGGACATGTATCTCTAAGAAGTCTAAGCCTCAATTGGACAATTAAACATGATGGATGCGTCCTGCTTTTCCCATGGCAGTCTCTTACCCATTTGCCTATTAATTTGTACCTTAAATTTGGTAGCCAATGTTACTGCTTCCATGAAATACCCCAAATGTTGGAGCTTCACCTTTTCTTGGATATATATATCGTACAAGTCGATCTCCATCTTATAATCTTGTGATTCAAAACTGTGGTGTTGGTTGTGGAACACTCCTTGTTGTTCAAAGACTGGTTGTTGTTGAAGAAAGGTCTCTTCCTGACTAGAAGAGTCAAAATCTTGGTAAGTTAATCTTGCATATGTTCTTGCAGCCAATTATTGGGGAATTTTATTTGGCGTTCTGTGAAGGCTGTAGTCTTTGTTCTTGGAGCATTCTTGCTGTTTTATTCATGTTGCCCTTCTTCTTTTTGGATGAGGATTATTATCATTTCTTCCATTTATTTCCCCACCAATCTCATTTCAATTCTTTCTAATTGTTGAGCTATTGTTTCCAGAACGTGTTTAATTTTGGAGAACAAATTGTTGGTGGAGTTGTGGACTCCAAATTGGAATGATCCGTGTCGATTTGGAGGCCGTGACAACCTTCTTTCCCACCATTAGGTCCTCTGTCATGAAAAAGGTCTGATATCAAAGATGATAATCTTAAAGCCGGGAAGGGAGGGTATTTGGAGGGTATTTATACCACTCACATGGTTGCTAGTAGATATATCCGAATGGTTACTTAAAAACTAAGTAACCTATGTAGATAAATAGTTGTAACTAATAGTAACATATACAAACCTATATAGATATCTCCGAATGGTTGCTTTAGAACATAAGTAACCTATGTATGTAGATAAATGGTTGTAAGTAACAGTAACCTATACAAACCTATGTAGATATACCCGAATGGTTGCTTTAGAACATAAGTAACCTATGTATGTAGATAAATGGTTGTTACTGACAATAACCTATACAAACCTATGTAGATATACCCGAATGGTTGCTTTAGAACATAAGTAACCTATGTATGTAGATAAATGGTTGTTACTGACAATAACCTATACAAACCTATGTAGATATACCCGAATGGTTGCTTTAGAACATAAGTAACCTATGTATGTAGATAAATGGTTGTTACTATCAATAACCTATACAAACCTATGTAGATATACCCGAATGGTTGCTTTAGAACATAAGTAACCTATGTATGTAGATAAATGGTTGTTACTATCAATAACCTATACAAACCTATGTAGATATACCCGAATGGCTGCTTTAGAACACAAGTAACCTATGTATGTAGATAAATGGTTGTTACTAACAATAACCTATACAAACCTATGTAGATATACCATTGGGTTGCTTTAAAACACAAGTAACCTATACAAACCTATGTAGATATACTCGAATGGTTTCTTTAAAACACAAGTAACCTATACAAACCTATGTAGATATATCCGAATGGTTGCTTTAAAACACAAGTAACCTATGTATGTAGATAAATGGTTGTAACTAACAATAACCTATACACACCTATGTGGATATGCCCGAAAAGTTGGATTAGAACATAAGTAACCTATGTAGATAAATGGTTTAATTAACATCTACATATACAAACAATAAAAATATATTCATTACATCATATATTTTTGGAGCACCTATGAAACATTGAAACAGGTGAACTTATATGGTTAGATAATCGGCTACAAGTCCTTTCATCCTTCTTAGATTAATGCCTCACATGCCTAGAATTGGATTTTACACGTTCAAGTTTGGGTTGTAAGGACTTGTACACATGACCACAATTTTTTAAAAAAAAATTCTATCTTCATTTTAGTCCAAGTACAATTTCTAGTGGATACAGTAAGCAAGCGACCAAAACAAGAAAGAAGCTTTTCTAATGTTCCATTAGTACTCATTTAATGAGACAATAAAATATATAAAATTGATCTATGAACTCAAAAGTTCGATTATAGAAAAATAAAATGACGATTTAGTTTTAACTCTTTATTTGTTGAAAAAGTATTTCTTTAATTATTAATGTTCATTTTTTCCATGGATGGATTAAACCTTTTATTTTTATTTATATTATACATTTTTTTTTTTTTAGCGTAAAGCATTTATGATATAAATACGAGAAAAATAGAATATTAAAAGTATTATATATGAAGGGCATTTATAAGAGAGGTAAAATTAAATAATTAAATCTTATAAACTAATAAATATAAAAATATATAAAAAGTTTATTTTAAGTGGATTAAATAAATAAATAAAGTTATTAATTTTGTAAGTTAGGGGTTTGGGATGAAAATGACACGGTTTTGGAAGGAAGAAATGGTTGTTTTATCCGCCGCTTCAACAAGAAAATGACTGGAAGCAGTCCTTGTAGCTGATCGCACTTTTTTGCTTTTCAGATTCAAAGAAAATGTCAGAGAGCCCGAAAGTTATTGGGATTAAAGAGGAGGAATCCCCTAAATTCCCCTTCACTTGGTTCTCTTTTCTTCCCAAGTTCGACCTCCGATTGCCGCTTCCGATCAACGGCGGCAAGAAACCGCCGGCTACGGTGATGGATGAAGGTCCGAAGGACGACGAAGATGCTCAGAAGCCGGAGTTTGTGAGGTTTCCTAAAGCAAACTTGGCCGTTCCTTCGGTGGAGGTTGAAGCCGATGTCTCCGGCAAGACTTCCAATCCGGCGGTCATCTGGCAGGTTTGTCTCATCTTTCGTTTTTATGGAAACTGGATGAAATTGAAGTTGCTGCTGGGATATTGCACTCTTAGTGTTTGTGGATTTGACTGAATTGGGAGTAATTGTTGACTGTTGAAGCGTCTCATTAATGGTGATTGGAGGGTGGTTGGAGAACGTTTGATTTTTCTGGTTCTTTGTTTTTCCTTTATGTGCTTATGGTTTCAGCTTTTGGCTACCTTGGTTTCCCCTTCTTAACCTACTATTGATTAGTTTTGAGCTTTAGACGATAGCTAATTGGTCTGTTTGATGGTTAATCAATGGATAGTTCTCCATTATCTTTGGAGACGTGCAAGGATTTCTCTCATGTACTAATGCAAATAGAGAACTAAACCTCATCAGTCATCGGGGATAGATAGAAATCTTCTGGATAGCATTTAGGTATAAATAATCTCCAATTTTCAACGGGGATAGATAGAACAGAAAGGAATCTGGATATCTAAATGCAACTTGGTAAATTCCCCCCCCACCCACCTATTGTATCTGCACTTTAGCAACATAACTGGCTGCTATAATAATTGAGAACTTGAAAGCCAGTGTTTGAAAATGGTCGAATCTAGGGGAGCAAAGAGATAGAAGGAATTGAGAAGAAGGCTTAAACACAAAGGGAGGGGTGAGCAAGCCTGATTTATATTCAAAGCCTGCAACCATGTGTATCTATGTGCTATTAATTTCACTTTATATTCCTATGTTATATTTTGCTGTGAACGAGGGGTTGAAAAGTTCAAATAGATCTAGAGATAAGGAAGTATGGAAGAGAACTGTGGCCACTATGGATTGTTCAACTAGTAGAGAATTCATTATTGTCGGCATCTTACTTTAATATTTGATTCTTAGTTGAATTACAAGTTTAGTTTTTTTAACTTTGAAGTTTATCTATTGGGTCCATTTACTTTGATAAGTATTTGAATTTTCAATTTTATATCTAATGTCTTTGAACTTCTAAAATGCCTAGTATGTTCCTCAACTTTTAATTATGCATCCAACAAGTCCGTGATACATTCAAAAATTTATATATAAATTAATTTTTATGTCTAATACGACTCTAATCTTTTAATTTTGTGTCTAATATATTCGTAAGTTTTTTTCGAAGTTGAATAGATGAAGGATTACTAGACACAAAATTGAGAATTTAGGGACTTATTGGACACAAGCGAAAAGTTTAAAGACATACTAGATATCTTTTAAAGTTAAGTTCTATTGGACACAAAATTGAAAGTTCAAAAGCTTATATACACCAAATAGAAAGAAAAGTTTAGAGTTTGAACTTACAATTGAACCTTTAATTCATTTACTTGTTTTTATTCTCCTGCCTTGGCTAATATTTTCATTTACTTGTTTGGAATTTGAGCTTTCATGACTCCTTTTTTATAACATGATCATTTATTTGCGTTAGGTATATTATGCCCTGGGAGGGCCTCTAGTTTAGAGTTTTTATAACATGATCATTTATTTGCGTTAGGTATATTATGCCCTGGGAGGGCCTCTAGTTTAGAGTTTTTATAACATGATCATTTATTTGCGTTAGGTATATGCCCAGGGAGGGCATCTAATTTTGAGTTTTTGTAACATGATCATTTATTTGCTTTAGGTATATGCCCTGGGAGGGTTTCTAATTTTGAGTTGGGCATGGGCAAGATGGAAGGAGAGAAGGCCCAAAAGACGTTCAGATGATGACGATGAGAACGAGGATTCCAGGGATACCTAGTTGTGTGTTTGCCTTGAACAGCCCTTAATAAATGTTGATGAAGTTACTTTTTAGTGTTAGAATCGATCTCGAGCTCATACCATTGTAATTTCGAGTTAATCAGTCATTTCCTGACCTGACCCTTTGTCAATCCTTGAATATGATCTTATTTTGAGGTTCTCTATTGATGCTACAGCTACAATATTTAGTCTTAATAAGAGGCTTCCTGCTTAGCAAATGTACTGATGATGCAAACAGTATTAAACGTTGATATGATGCTAAAAATTTAGAGCTAGATATCGAACAATGTGATAGCGAGAAAGTTGAGCCCCAAAGGGGGTGAACACAAGGTATACCAAGTGAATTGTTCCACATCGATTGGAGAATTGAACAAGCGCCAACGAGTATGCTAGGCGCCAAAGGAGGTAATTGTGAGATCTCACATCGGTTAGGGAGGAGAACAAACCATTCTTTATAAGGATGTAGAAACATCTCCCTAATAGAAGTATCTTAAAAACTTTGAAAAAAAACTCGAAAGGAAAAGTCTAAAAAGAACAATAGCTGCTAACGGACTGTTACAAGTAATGTTGAATCGTCGGTTATTAGTACACCACATTCATGTTCATTTAAGAGGTATATCAGGGAGCACAAATGGTGAATGAAAGCCAGCAATAGTTTATTTTACTATTGTTAATCACAAAAGTAGTTGCTGGTAAAAGAATGATACATCTGGTGGCAAACCTGTACAGAGACCAAATTTATGCAGGAAATCAATCAGTTTCTAACAAGCTATTAAGAAAACTTAGGACTAACTAAACCAACTTTTCCATGTAGTAAGCCCTGACCAAGTGTGGTAGTTCTTGATTTACCAGCTAACTCAGCATTTATGTACACCATCCTGAGACCCTTCCCTAATAATCGGGATCGGTCGTATACGACTGGTTCTGCATATAACTTAATGGTATGGTATATCCTTTGTAAGAGCAAGGAGAAAATCAGTTCATACCGTTAGTTTGACTCAGAAACCAAATGGAAAAGTAGATCACTCTGGCTTGAAATAACCATCATATATGGATAGTTGATCGAATGCGTCGAAATTTGCCTTTAGTCCGATAAATTGGCTACCCAAATGAGCACAACCAGCATCGGGCCACCGGCAAGCTTTGTCGTGAGTGCGCAATGGGCAAAGAGCTTCGCAGACGTGACTGGGGGAGTCGTTCGGAACATCATCTTGTGTAACCGTGATAGAAAGGGAGAGGTCATTGTCTTCACTAGAAGGCAGTGAACGATGCGAAGCCCTTCTCGAAGCAGGACGAATTTTCTGATTGGATTTCATCAGGTCGCCCTCGATGTCAACAGTACAATAACCATTACTAGAGACTTGAACCTTGCAACCTAGAGACTGAATTGCTCTCTTTATGGCTTCACATTCTTTGTTTGCACTTTTTGCAATATTCCTAGCAGATATACTTAACTGCTTCTCGTTCTGTAACTCTGATTTTATCGATTCCATGGCAGCCGTCATCTCTTGCGTTTTTCTCTCGGCTATTTCTTTCTCCTATTAGGCATGTTACAGTATGCAAGAATCAATCAGGTTGACACGAGTACAACAAAACATTGTACATAAAAAAACGTTCGAAAAACAAACATTTCTCGTAAGATATCATATCATCCATTGTTACGCCTCTCTTTAAAAATTAAAAAAGAAGAAGAATGACACAAGTATGAAACAAGAATTATACCTTCTGCATTTCAGAGAATTTTATAGCCATTTTCCTGCATCTGACTTCAAGTTCTCCAGCTTGGGATTCTTTAGGGCAAGCCCAACGAAGATGGAATTGTGGCCAGAGAGTTGGAGCTAGAGCTGCTGCAGGAGGTAAGAGTGGACCTTCATGTTTGGTAGCATCATAGAAAAGGTTGTAATGCACATGCGAAATTCCTTCCGAAGCTCGTAAATCAGCTAAATACGCCCATATACAGCCGCAAACTTCAGAAACTGCACATTGCTGCCGCTCCTTCTCACTGAGACATCAGAAAAAGATCATTCAACAAGCCCCTCCATATTATTAGTGTCTAACAATTTGAGGTTTAAGAGGGGAACATAAACATTCGTCAGATCCAGAAAACTCTTTCAGGTATGAAATGTAAGGAATGAATAAATGGGTCTGTTTGGCGGAATTCTTGTTTCCTACAACCGTAATAATTAAACAGGGAAATTATAGAGGAACTCATCACATTAAAACATTAAAACATTAAAACAAATTTCTCATTCTTGTTTCCTACACCTAGCTAAAACATTAAAACAAATGCATCCAATAATATCCTTCAAGTTTCTCATTTTTCATGAACTTTTTCATGAAGATTTTAGTTTTGAAATTGTTGTTCGTATCATTTAGTTCACAAATTACACAAAAGATATCAGGATAACAATAATAGTTAAACAGGGATATTATAGTGGAACTCATCACACCAAAGGATTGATCTAATCGAAGGAAGTTACCAATTGCATAAGAAGTTCCCAAAGCGACAGGAAAGCATACAATCCAACAGATCCACCAGGAATGCCTAATAAAAAACGCCAAACAGGTCGGCATGTTACGCCAATTAAGAGTGAAGAATGATTTCCTCAAAAAGAAAGAACTAAAAACTGTTTCAACTCCAAAAGCATCAAGAAGGTTACTTACTGAAGAGAACTCGAAAGCAAAGGGATACATGCGCAAAAGTTGAGAAACACAATCAACCCACTGCAAATAATTGAGTAGCATTCTATTAACAGGTAACACAGTTTTGTGCATCAAGGATAAAAATAAGGACAACGATCTTTGCACCTAGCAGAAGTCATGCCACTCTATCTACATTTTTAATCACGTGAAGGAGTCCCAAAAAAAAATAAACAGTATTTCACACAGATTATATTCAACGAACCACAAACCTGTAAAAATATGGGAGAACAGTTGTTTGATGTTTGTGAGGGAGGAGGACTGGAAGCTGGAGATGTGAATGATCCCGATGGCTGACGCATAGGTGAAGAAGAAAAACTTCCAGTTGAAGACTGCCTAGAGAGTTCATATGGCATGTTACCACTTCCTGATATGGTCGGCGTGCCAGATCGATCTGAGAAAGGATGACCAAATGCCAGCCAATCCTTTTCAACCAGTGCCTAAGTGTACACATTGAAATCGGACTGATGACTAAATATATCCAACTATGAATAAATGAAAGAAGACTCTATGCAACCATTGATAATTCCAGGGAATAAAGAGATCCATTCATGATATATGAAGATATATGAAACCTTTTCAAAATAAACCAAATTAATTAAAGTAAAAGAAGGGAAACAGATTTTTTTATAGAAAGATAGACACGTCCTACATTTTAGGTAAATTATAGAGTACAGATAAAAAGACCCAAAAAGGTCTATGATGTCCAACAGAATACCTGAAATCCAGCGATCGTCCGGTAATAAGGATCAAGTAGTAAGCTAGCAAGTGAAACTAGTTGTGTTGTTCTGTCCCAGCCATCACTATGCAAACAATGACCAAGAAGATGGCAAGGTAATCTTTAGAACATTTCATAGAGCATAAGTTCCAAGCCAAGATAACAATAATATATGTGTATAATTTGTTAGTTACAAACTAAAAGATACAAGATCAATTATTGCATACCTGCAATGAACTAGTACAGTTGCTTTTTCCAACGCAACACGTGCAGCAATCCATGCGGAACCAGCCAAGACACTTTGAACATGGATTAACCAGCCACTATCTCCCAGTGTTGATACAGATGCAGACATACTACTAAGATTACCCCCACCCCAAGTCCATCCGCCGTGTCTCTGCATATGTATATGGAGAGTGAGTTTCTTTAAGAGAAAAATTCAAAGTAGGGGAAGGAGACAACTTCAGATCCAATCTTAAGAATTCCTCCATTATTAGTCACCTTCATGTTTAAACATATACGATTTCAAGTTGAGGGAAAAATATGAATGTGAAGTTATTTACAAATTATCATGAACTGGAATTGAAGGAGGCATGCTTATGCTTCTAATGTTTCAGGTTGATCGGAGGAAAAAAAGTTGAAAGTTGTAGGAAGGGAAACAAATGAATCTCAAGGGAAGGAGTGAGGGAGGAGAAAATAACGACCAGGCTAACCAAGAATGCTGACATTCCATCAGATGGTGTTGCACCATGAGTATCCAAGTAGTAGGGAGAAGGAAATAGGGAGACTTTCTATAAGACCAAAATACAAAGGGCCTCGATATATTAGCCAAAAAATACTAACCAAGAATGATGACATTCCATCAGATGATTTTTCACCATGAGTATCCAAGTACTCTCTGAGCCGGGTAAGACTTTCCCTCATTGCATGTATGTTGTCAATCCCAAAAAAGACTATCTATTAAGGACAACAAAAACAATACAAGGTAAGTCGAGCATCCCATAATAAAATTGTAAAGAAAGAACCAATTGGACCTCAGAGGCTCAAACTAACCTCAGATTGAAAATAATTTGACGAAGACTCCGAGCCACCACCCATAGCTCCATTTGCTAAAGCATTTTTTCTAGGCCTTGCATCAGCTATATAAAGCTTCCTAATTACAAAAGAAAAAAAAAAAAAAAAAAGGTTTATCTCAGAAGTAACAATATGGGAGGAAAAGAAAAAAAAAAAAAGGTTCCATCGATGTTAGAATGAACTGTGGAAAATCATACTGCTCTCAACTTGATGAATGGTAGCAATAAGTAACAAAGAGAGAGAACTTGACAACACTCTTTTGTTGCTTAGAGCAAGGAGAGATCGTCTATACCCATTCATTTTTATATATTTTTCCTTCAATTTGTTTCTTATCACATACACAAAAAAATGGAAGAAAATAAAGATGATTAACTGTTTTCTATTTGGCTTCAATCTACAAAATTTCAGTCCCCCTGTCACCGTGTTGATTTACCACACAAATAAGCTATGTTTAAACCTCATTAATTAATTCAAACAAACAAGTTTCAATGATTTTTTCTAAAATTTCCACTGACATGGACAGTTCTGTAAAATTCATAACATCAAATATCTTGGGTTTTTTTTTTTTTTTGGAAAATTTATTAACCAAAAGGAGAAATGTACAAAAAGGAGATAAGGTTCTACCAGAAGGCATGGCATACATTTGCTACAAATCCTAATTAAAAAA